TCCCAGGGTCCCATAGTATTATAATGGTGTCCCATAGAAACTACAACTCCCAGGGTCCCATAGTATTATAATAGTGTCCCATAGCATTAAAACGATGCCAAATTGCATCAGTTCCACAACAAAGTTGTCTTAGAGGGGATTTCCTGCATTACAAGGCTTGGGGCCTTGGGAAACTATAACTCCCAGGGTCCCATAGCATTATAATGATGTCAAGCTACATTGGTTCTAGTCTGGGAGAGGCTTTATAGATGGATTTCCTACATAAGAAAAGTCAGGACCTTGGAGAACTACAAGAGTGTGTGTGGAAAAGACAGGACCTTGGAAAACTACAACTATTTCTCTGTGTGTGTGTGTCTTCTAGGTCTCCCTGAAAATCCCCGGCTTCCCCAGTTTCGAATACGGCGCTTCGCTGTGGCTCGCCATGGCCGGGAACCTGTCTGCTTTCTTCGCCGCCGGCGCGTCGTACTTGGAAATGGCCTCTGGCGCTACGTCTCCCAGTGCGAGTCCGGGCAAGCTGCTTCCTGGGAACACCGCTTGCACTTACGTCTGATTGACAGGGAATATAATTATGGTCATAATAATAAACAACATAATGAGTTATTATGGCTGTCTTCTTTCTGTGGATGGGTAAACAACAACAACAACAACAACAACAATACATAGAACAAAATAATAAATGTAATAATAACAATAATAATAATAATAAAGTAAAATAATACATGTAATAATAAAAATAATAATAAAATAATAAAAGTATTAATAATAATAGAGTAAAATAATAATGGAATAATAATAGAGTATGTAATAATAACAATAATAATAAAGTAAAATAATAAAAGTATTAATAATAATAGAGTAAAATAATAATAAATAGAGTAGAATAAAAATGGAATAAACAGTGTAAAATAATAAATGTAATAATAACAATAATACATAGAGCAAAATAATAAATGTCTTAATAATAATAATAATAGAGTAAAATAATAATAAATGTAAGAATAGAATAAATAGAGTAATATAATAAAAGTAATAATAACAATTATACAGTAAAATAGTAAATTTAATAACAATAAGAGTAATATAACAAAGGTAATAATAACAATAATAATAAAGTAAAATAATAAATGTAATAATAAAAATAATAATAGAGTATAATAATAATAAATAGAGTAAAATAAAAATGGAACAATAACAATAATAATGAAGTAAAATAATAAAAGTATTATTAATAATAGATTAAAATAATAATAAATAGAGTAAAATAAAATGGAATAATAACAATAATAAATAGAGTAAAATATGACATGTAATAATAAAAATAATAACAAAGTAATAAAAGTATTAATAATAATAGAGTAAAATAATACAAGTATTAATAATAGAGTAAAATAATAATATAGTAAAATAATACAAGTATTAATAATAGAGTAAAATAATAATATAGTAAAATAATACAAGTATTAATAATAGAGTAAAATAATAATAAAGTAAAAATGGGATAATAATAAATAGAGTAAAATAATACATTTAATAAAATAATAATAAATAGAGCAAAATAATACATGTAATAATAATAGAGTAAAATAATAAAAGTATTAATAATAATAGAGTAAAATAATAACTAGAGTAAAATAATAAATGTAATAATAATAGTAATATAATAAAGGTAATAATAACAATAATACATAGAGTAAAATAATACATTTAATAATAAAAATAATAATAGAGTAAAATAATAATAAATAGAGTAAAATAATAAATGGAATAATAATAAGAGTAATATAACAAAGGTAATAATAACAATAACAATAATAATAACAATAAAAATAATTATAATTATAATAATACAATAATTATAATAAATAGAGCAAAATAATAACAATAACAATAATTATAATAACAATGACAATAATATAATAATAATAATAATAATAATAATAAATAGAGCAAAATAATAAATGTAATAATAACAATAGTAATAATAAAGTAATAAAATACATATAATAATAAAAATAATAAGAGAGTAAAATAATAATAGTATTATTAATAATAGAGTAAAATAATAATAAAGAGGAGAAGAAAGAGAAAAAGGAGGAGAAAGGAAGAAAAAAGACAAAGAGGAGAAAATGAGAAGAAAGAGTAGGCGAAGTAGAAGAAGAAAGGAGAGGGAGAAGGAGATGTGCAAGAAAAAGGGGAAAGAGGAGAAGAAAGAAAAAGAGGAGGAAGAAGAGAAGGAGAAGAAAGAATATAAGAAGGAGAAGGAAATAAAGGAAAAAGTGCAGGGAAGGAGAAGGAGAAAGAAAAGGAACAAAGAAGAGAGAAAAGAGGAGGAGAAAGAGTTGGAGAAGAAGGAGAAGACAAAGAGAAAGGAGGAGGAGAAAAATGAAAAGAAGAAGTTAAGAGAAGGAAAAGAAGGAGAGGAAGGGGGGAGGAAGAGACTCTTCTCTTCTTCTTCCTTTTCTTCTTTTCTTCTTCCTCTTCTTCCTCCTCCACCTCCTCCTTTCCTCTTCTCCTCCTCCTCCTCCTCTTCCTCCTTCTCTTCTTTTCTTCTTCCTCTTCTTCCTCCTCCACCTCCTCCTTTCCTCTTCTCCTCCTCCTCTTCCTCCTTCTCTTCTTTTCTTCTTCCTCTTCTTCCTCCTCCACCTCCTCCTTTCCTCTCCTCCTCCTCCTCTTCCTCCTTCTCTTCTCTTCTTCTTCCTTTTCTTCTTTTCTTCTTCCTCTTCTTCCTCCTCCACCTCCTCCTTTCCTCTTCTCCTCCTCCTCCTCCTCTTCCTCCTTCTCTTCTTTTCTTCTTCCTCTTCTTCCTCCTCCACCTCCTCCTTTCCTCTTCTCCTCCTCCTCTTCCTCCTTCTCTTCTTTTCTTCTTCCTCTTCTTCCTCCTCCACCTCCTCCTTTCCTCTCCTCCTCCTCCTCTTCCTCCTTCTCTTCTCTTCTTCTTCCTTTTCTTCTTTTCTTCTTCCTCTTCTTCCTCCTCCACCTCCTCCTTTCCTCTTCTCCTCCTCCTCCTCCTCTTCCTCCTTCTCCTCTTCTTCTCCTTTTCTTCCTTTTCTTCTCCTCTTCTTCCTCGTCTTCTTCTTTCTCCACCTCCTCCTCTTCTTCTTCATCTTTTTTCTCTTCTTCCTCCTCCACTTCCTCCTCTTTTTCTTCTTCCTCCTCCTCTTCTTCCTCTTCTTTTTCTTCATCCTCCACCTCCTCCTCTTCTTCTCATCTTCCTTCCTTCTCCTCCTCTTCCTCCTCCTCCTCCTCTTCTTCTTCCTCTTCCTCCTCCTCCTCTCTTCTTCCTCCTCTTCTTACTCCTCCCCCCCTCCCCCCCAGCTGCCTGCCTGGCCTTAACCCGATCCCTTGATTGACAGCCGGGGCGAGGGGGCGGTCCCTGTGGCGGCGGAGGGGGGGGCGTGGCTTCCTTCCCAGAAGGTTCCCACCAGACGGCGAGAGGAGAGGGATGCGGGGCGGGCGCGGGTCCGGCTCCTCCGTCCATCTCCATCTCCTCCTGGTTCTCCTTCTCCTGTGATCCTCGCGTGGGCATGGCCTCCTCCTCGGTGGCCCCTTCTCCTTCCTCTCCTTCCTCTCCTTTCTCTCCCTCGGAGCGGGCTCTGCAGGCGGCGCGGCAGGGCGACGTGGAGGCGCTGCGGGCGGCGCTGGGCGAGGCGGGGGCGGCGACGGCGGGGCTGCGGGACCCTCTGGGGGCGTCCCCGGTGCACCACGCGGCCCGCGCGGGGAGGCTTCCGTGCGTGCGCTTCCTGGTGGAGGAGGCCGCGCTGGCCGGGAACGGGCGCGCCAGGAACGGAGCCACCCCCGCGCACGACGCCGCCGCCACCGGCAACCTGCCCTGCCTACAGTGGCTCCTCCACCACGGAGGCTGCCGGGTACAGGTGAGTGCGCCAGGGATGGGTTCGGGGGGCTTGGGAGGCTTTGGGGGGGGGGGCTTCTGCGCCTTGGAAAAGGTCCGCGTTTAGGGGTCTTTGGAGACTCCCCGGTGAGCCTTGGAAAGGTCCGGGTTTGTGGGTCTTGGGAGACTTTTGGGGGGCTTTCTGCGCCTTGGAAAAGTCTGAGTTTGGAGTCCATTGGAGACTTTTGGGGGGCTATATGCGCCTTGGAACGGGCTGAGTTTGGGGAGCTTTTGGGGATCCCTTTTGCGCGTTTGGGGAGCTTTTCTGCGCCGTGGGAAGGTCTGAGTTTGGGGGTCTTTGGAGACTCCTCTTTCGCGCTTTTGGGGAGCTCGGTGCGCCTCGGAAAGGCCCGAGTTTGGGGGTCTTTGGAGACTTTTGGGGAGCCTTATGCGCCTCGGAAAGGAGTCTCCAAAGGACTCCAAACACGGACCTTTTCCAAGGCGCAGAAAGCCCCCCAGTTTGGGGGTCTTTGGAGACTCCTCTTTTGAGCTTTTGGGAAGCTTTGTGCGCCTTGGAAAATTCTTAGTTTGAGGGTCTTTGGAGACTTGTGGGGAGCTCTTCCTGCGCCTGGGAAAGCAAGTTTGGGGAACTTTTGGGAATCCCTTTTGGGGAGCTTTGTGCGCCTTGGAAAAGGTCCGCGTTTGGGGGTCTTTGGAGACTCCTCTTTTGCGCTTTTGGGGGACTTGGTGCGCCTTGGAAAAGTCTGGGTTTGGGGGTCTTTGGAGACGTACGTTTTGGACTTTTGGGGAGCTTTCTGCGCCATGGAAAGGCCTGAGTTTGGGGTCCTTTGGAGACTTTTGGGGAGCCTTATGCGCCTCGGAAACGTCCGCGTCTTTGGAGACTCCTCTCTTGCGCTTTTGGGGAGCTTTCTGCGCCTTGGAAAAGGTCCGCATTCAGGGGTCTTTGGAGACTTCTTTTTTGCGCATTTGGGGAGTTTGGTGCGCCTCGGAAAGGGCTGAGTTTGGGGGTCTTTGGAGACTTATGGGGAGCCTTATGCGCCTTGGAAAAGGTCCGCATTTAGGGGTCTTTGGAGACTTCTCTTTTGCGCTTTTAGGGAGCTTTTCTGCGCCATGGGAAAGTCTGTGTTTGGGGGTCTTTGGAGACGTACGTTTAGGACTTTTGGGGGGCTTGGTGCGCCTCGGAAAGGCCTCAATATGGGGGGCTTCTTTGCGCCTTGGAAAAGGTCTGAGTTTGGGGGTCTTTGGAGACTTCTCTTTTGCACTTTTGGGGAGTTTGGTGCGCCTTGGAAAGGTCCGCGTTTGGGGAGCTTTTGGGGATCCCTTTTGGGCTCTTGGGGAGCTTTGTGCGCCTTGGAAAGGTCCGGGTTTTGGGGGTCTTCGGAGACTTTTGGAGACCCCTTTCAGCTTTTTATGCGCCTTGGAAAACGTCCGCATTTAGGGGTCTTTGGAGACTTTTGGGGGGCTATATGCGCCTTGGCAAAGGCCCGCGTTTGGGGAGCTTTTGGGAATCCCTTTTGAGTTTTTGGGGAGCTCGGTGCGCCTTGGAGAGATCCGCCTTTGGAGACTTCTCTCTGCGCTTTTGGGGAGCTTTGTGCGCCTTGGAAAGGTCTCAGTTTGGGGGGGCTTCTTTGCACCTTGGAAAAGGTCTGAGTTTGGGGGTCTTTGAAGACTTTTGGGAAGCTCTCTGCGCCTTGGAAAAGGTCCGCGTTTGGGGTCCTTTGGAGACTCCTCTTTCGCGCTTTTGGGGAGTTTGGTGCGCCTTGGAAAGGCCCAAGTTTGGGGGTCTTTGGAGACTTTTGGGGAGCTTTGTGTGCCTTGGAAAGGGCTCAGTTTGGGGGGCTTCTTTACACCTTGGAAAAGGTCTGAGTTTGGGGGTCTTTCGAGACTTCTGGGGGGCTATATGCGTCTTGGAAAAGGTCCGCGTTTGGAGTCCTTTGGAGACTTCTCTTTTGCGCTTTTGGGGAGCTTCTTTGCACCTTGGAAAGGCCTGAGTTTGGGGAGCATTTGGGAAACCCTTTTGAGCTTTTGGGGAGCTTTGTGCGCCTTGGAAAAGTCTGGGTTTCCGATGTCTTTGGAGACGTACGTTTAGGAGTTTTGGGGGGCTTTGTGTGCTTAGGAAAGGTCCGCATTTAGGGGTCTTTGGAGACTTTTGGGGGGCTTTCTGCGCCTTGGAAAAGTCTGTGTTTGGGGGCCTCTGGGGGAGCCTTTTCCCGCTTTTGGGGAGCCTTATGCGCCTTGGAAAAGGTCCGCGTTTGGGGGTCTTTGGAGACTTCTCTTTCGCGTTTTTGGGGAGCTTGGTGCGCCTCGGAAAGGTCCGCGTTTGGAGTCCTTTGGAGACTTCTTTTTTGCGCTTTTGGGAAGCTTGGTGCGCCTTGGAAAGGCCTCAATTTGGGGGGCTTCTTTGCGCCTTGGAGAAGCCTCAGTTTGGGGGCCTCTGGGGGAGCCTTTTCCCGCTTTTGGGGACCTTTATGCGCCTTGGAAAGGGCTGAGTTTGGGGGGCTTCTTTGCGCCTTGGAAAAAGCCTGAGTTTGGAGACTCCTCTTTTGCGCTTTTGGGCAGCTCGGTGCGCCTTGGAGAGATCCGCGTTTGGGGAGCTCTTTCTGGGCTTTTGGGGGGCTATATGCGCCTTGGAAAGGCTTGAGTTTGGGGACCTTGCCCCCCAAAAGCGCAAAAGAGGAGTCTCCAAAGGCCCCCAAACTCAAGGCAGAGAAAGAGCCCCCCAAACTGAGGCCTTTCCAAGGCGCACAAAGCTTTCCAAAGGCGCAAAACATAAGTCTCCAAACGCGGACCTTTCCAAGGCGCATAAAGCTCCCCAAAAGCGCAAAAGAGGTGTCTCCACAGGCCTCCCAATGCGGACCTTTCCAAGGCCCTTTTGACCTTTTGGGGAGCTTTGTGCGCCTTGGAAAACTCCGCATTTGGGGAGCTCTTTGCGCCTTGTGCCCCTTGGAAAGGGCTCAATTTGGGGGGCTTCGTTGCTCCTTGGGAAAGGTCCGCGTTTGGAGTCCTTTGGAGACTTTTTTTTGCGCTTTTGGGGAGTTTCGTGCGCCTTGGAAAGGCCTGAGTTTGGGGAGCTTTTCTGCGCCATGGGAAAGTGAGTTTGGGGACCTTTTCGGAAACCCTTTTCAGCTTTTGGGGAGCTTGGTGCGCCTTGGAAAGGTCCGCATTTAAGGGGTATTTGGAGACCCCTCTTTTGCGCTTTTGGGGAGCTTGGTGCGCCCTGGAAAGGCCTGAGTTTGGGGGTCTTTGGAGACGTATGTTTTGGACTTTTGGGGAGTTTGGTGCGCCTTGGAAAGGCCTGAGTTTGGGGAGTTTTCTGTGCCATGGGAAGGTCTGAGTTTGGGGGCCTTTTGGGAATCCCGTTTGAGCTTTTGAGGAGCTTGGTGCGCCTTGGAGAGATCCGCGTTTGTGAGACTTTGGAGACGTCTCTTTCTGCGCCTTGGAAAGGCCTGAGTTTGGGGGGGGGGCTTCTTAGCGCCTTGGAAAAGGTCTGAGTTTTGGGGCCTTTTGGAGACTCCTCTTTTGCGCTTTTGGGGAGCTTTTCTGCGCCATGGGAAGGTCCGCGTTTGGAGACTTACGTTTTGCGCCTTGGAAAGGCCTCAGTTTGACGGACTCTTCCTCTGCCTTGAGTTTGGGGCCTTTGGAGAAGCCTTTTTGCACTTTTGGAGAGCTTTATGCACCTTGCAAAGGTCCGAGTTTGGAGCCTTTGGAGACTTACGTTTTGGACTTTTGGGGAGCTTTGTACACCTTGGAGAGATCCGCAATTCGTGAGCTCTTTTTTTGAGCCCTTGGAAAGCTTTGTGCGCCTTGGAAAGGCCTCAGTTTGGGGGCCTGTAGGGAAGACCTTTTGCACTTTTGGGGACCTTTACTCATCTTGGAAAGGTTCGAGTTTAGAGGCCTTTGGGGGACCTTTTCTTTGCACTTTTTGGGAGGCTTTTTACGCATTTGGGAAGCTCTGCGTGCCTTGGAAAAGTCTGAGTTTGTGGCCTTTGGAGACTTCCGTTTTGCGCCTTTGGGGAGCTTGGTGTGCCTTGGAGAGATCCTCATTTGGGAAGCTCCCTTTGCACCTTTGGAAAGCTTTGTGCGCCTTGGGAAGGTCTGAGTTTGGGGGCATTTTGGGGAGCGCTTTTGGGGAGCTTTGTGTGCCTTGGAGAGATGCACCTTTGGGAAAGGCCAGAGTTTGGGAGGCTTCTTTGCGACTTGGAAAACTCTTAAATTTGCGGGCCTTTTGGGAAACTTATTTGCACTTTTGGGGAGCTTGGTGCGCCTTGGAAAGGCCTGACTTTGGGGAGTTTTTTGTGCCTTGGGAAAGTCCGAGTTTGGGGGCCTTTGGGGGAGCTTTTCTTTGCTCTTTTGGGGAGGCTTTTTGCACGTTTGGGAAGCTCTGCGTGCCTTGGAAAAGTCTGAGTTTGTGGCCTTTGGAGGCTTCTGTTTTGTGCTTTTGGGGAGCTTTGTGCGCCTTGGAAAGGCTGAGTTTGGGGAGTTTTTTGTGCCTTGGGAAGGTCCGAGTTTGGGAGCCTTTGGGGGAGCTTTTCTTTGCACTTTTGGGGAGGCTTTTTGCACATTTGGGGAGCTCTGTGTGTCTTGGAAAAGTCTGAGTTTGTGGCCTTTGGAGGCTTCTGTTTTGTGCTTTTGAGGAGCTTTGTGTGCCTTGGAAAGCCTGAGTTTGGGGAGTTTTTTGTGCCTTGGGAAGGTCCGAGTTTGGGGGCCTTTGGGGGAGCTTTTCTTTGCTCTTTTGCGCGTTTGGGAAGCTCTGCGCGCCTTGGAAAAGTCTGAACTTGTGGCCTTTGGAGACTTCTGTTTTGCTCCTTTGGAAAGTTTTATGCACCTTGGGAAGGTCTGAGTTTGGGGAGCTTTTGGGGAACGCCTTTGAGCTTTTGGGGAGCTTTGTGTGCCTTGGGAAGGTCCGAGTTTGGGGGCCTTTAGGGGACCTTTTCTTTGCAAAAGGGGAGGCTTTTTGCACGTTTGGGAAGCTCTCAGTGCCTTGGAAAAGTCTGAGTTTGGGGAGTCCTTTTGAGCTTTTGG